CCACACTGCAGAGTGGGAAGGGACAGTAATACGCCTGGGCTGAGTCAGGAGACCTCTCAGCCGGCCTGCCCTCTGAGATGGGAGAGAAAGGACAATGGGGGCGGCCATTGCGCCCTGGACACAAGCCTGTGAGGTGCTAGCCAGAGTCCTGCTGGCTCCCCAGGCCTTGCCCACCTTGCCACCAGCTCGGCCCGCCCCGAGACCCACCCCCTAGCACCCTCACCCCCACCAGCACCCTTTAGGGTGGTCAGGTGTCTGTCAGCAGGGCCCTCTGTTCCTCTGGAAAGTGCCATCCTCACCCAAGCATTAGAGACACACCCACCCTGGTTGGCCTAGCGCTCTCCTCTGCCTCACACATGCGTGAGCTTGCATGCATCCCCCCCGCCGCCCCCCAACGGGCAGACAGGAGGAACTTGATCTGGGCTGGTCCCCGGGAATCTAAGAGCCTGGTGGTGGCCTGTAGGGATGTGTTGCCAGCCAAGTGGTTGGTGGTTCAGTCCCACCCATCTGCTCCGAGGGAGAAAGATGAAGCGGGCTGCCCACTTCAGGATTCTCGGCCGGAAGCCCTCTGTCGGGTCGATGGGAGGCGGAGTTACCTGGATGGCACTGTTGGGGTGTTCGGTTTTATTGAAGACAGAAAGTCTGAAGGGGCACCTCCGCCGAGCTCTCTGTCCGGCGTTGCCCCGGCCTCCCTTGGTCTTCCTCCTGTGCGTCTGCATGTCTCTGCACAGCTAAGGGACACCACCGCTCCCTCCGCCTGACCTGCCTGCACAGGGGCACCGGAAGACAGAACCGGTTCGCCGGCACCTGCTCGCTCTAGTGCAGTGGTTGTGGAGGGTCACTCCGGCCCTGCTATATGGGGGAAGGTGGCAGGGGCGGGCAGAGTCCCCAAGCAGGCTGGTGCTCAGTACAGGTAGTTCTGGGATGCCCCTGGCTGCCGCTCTGTGTCCTGCTGCTGGCTGGCATGGGTGGCCACCAGGCTGTAGGAAGCAGGAGTAGGAGTCTGGCTGGAGGACATGGGCAGACTGGGGAGGGGGCACTGAACTTGAGGCCACCCTCCCCTTGGCCACAGCCCCAGCCTCCCGTCTGCCTTGCCGCCGGCAGGATTCACATCAGCCGGCCACTAGAGGTGGAGCCCGAGGAGCCGGAGGCCGAGAGCAAGCAGAAGGCACGCCGGAAGTCCAAGCGGAACAAGAAGGAGGCGGAGGAGGAGCAGCTGGGCGGCAAGAGCCCGGTGGAGGTGGTGATGGAGCCCGGCTTGGGGGACCCTCGTGAGGTGCTCATGGTCGAGGTCGAAAACGTGGCCCACGAGGACTTCCAGGTCACGGAAGAAGTGAAAGTGAGTGAGGCAGGGGAGGGGCCGCGGGGCTCCCTGTCCTGCGGTTGCAGGGGCACCCACAGCAGGCATCACCAGTGCAGAGGAGGCCTGGGGCCCTGCTCACCACACCACACCACACCACAGTAGCCTCACACAGAGGGGCCCTGGTCACACAGGCACGGCTGTTGTGTCCTGTGTGTCCTGCCCCCTGCAGCCTTGCTGAGGCAGCACCTACTTCTCTGCGTGAAAGGCCTTTGAGGAAATGGGTCAGAGAAGGAAATCTGCTCCTGGTGGAGTTCATAGTCGAACCCAGGCCCCACCTGGGTGGGGGTTTGTACCAGCCTTCCTGCCAAGCCACCTGCCCTCTAGGAACAAGACAGCTGACTGAGGCCTGGCATGTGCCTGGCAGCCAAGGCCAACTGGCTGCAGCCCTGTATTGAGAAGGCTTCTTAAGTGGCCTCTGAACACTGAGGGAAAGAGTGCTGGATTGATTGGTGATGTCTGACGTGATGCTGGAAGGGGGTCTGGCTGCATGTGCCATTGAAATCCAAACCTACTGTCATTGCGTGGATTCCAGCTCCCAGTGGGACAGACTAGAGCTCAGGCTTCCTGTCCTGGAGCAGCTGGTGGGCGCGCCCTGCTCTCCCTTGTGCTGTTGCAGGGTGCTTCAACTTTCCACTGCCCCGCCAGGGCTCCTGCGAGGGCATTAACGGCTTCTGACACCACCCCTCACACACCCCCACCATCCCTTCCTCAAGGTTAGGAGGCAGGCAGGTTTTCATGTGTCCTCTTCTTGGCTGGTGAACATGAAGCCCAAGTGGCCTGGTGGCTGGGGCACTGGGGGCGGCAGGTAGGAGGGACCCCAAAGGCCTGTCTGGCCCTGTCTGCAGGCCCTGACCGCAGAGATCGTGAAGACCATCCGCGACATCATCGCCCTAAACCCTCTCTACAGGTGGGTGTCCACCGGCCTCCTCGCAGGAAGCCCTACCCCTCCTCCCTGCGAGGCAGGCGATGTCCCGCTGCTGTGCCTGGGGTGGGCAGGTCTCACGAAGCAGCGGTGGGCGGGATAAGCTGGCTGGGCGGAGGAGCTGCTCTGAGCAGCAGTCCACCCCCAGGGAGTCGGTGCTGCAGATGATGCAGGCGGGCCAGCGAGTGGTGGACAACCCCATCTACCTGAGCGACATGGGCGCCGCGCTGACCGGGGCCGAGTCCCACGAGCTGCAGGATGTCCTGGAGGAGACTAACGTGAGTGTGTGCATGGCTCAGCCCGCCGCCTCGTCCCTCTCAGGCCTCCCGTCTGCAGCAGGGTTGCTGTGGCCAACGGCCTTGCCCATGGGGCATTGTTCCCTGTGTGCATAGGGGCCGTGGGTCAGGCAAGCAACTCCCCCACTGTGACCACCCTCTCACGCCTCTCCTCGGCAGATCCCCAAGCGCCTGTACAAAGCCCTGTCCCTGCTAAAGAAGGAGTTTGAGCTGAGCAAGCTGCAGCAGCGCCTGGGTCGGGAGGTAAGCTTCCAACCTTCAGGCCGCCCCGAGTCGCCAGACTGCGTGGGTGCTGCTGTGAGACCAGCACAGCCAGCCCAAGTCCTCTCTGCGCGGCAGGACTGGGTGCTCCTGGCCTCCTGTGTGTGTGTGGGGGCATGTAGAACCAACCCACCGGGAAAATACTGACGTGCTGGTTCCCCACTCGCCTGCAGGGCCCACCATCCCACTTGTGGGCAAATGTTGGACCAGCCTGTATTTCAGGTCACCCTGGAGGCCGGGGGTCACTTATACAGTGCTTAGAGCTGACTTGGGGGCTGAGAGAGACCCTGGATTGGTTCTGGTCAGCTTTCACAGCCACTTACATGTGCCCTGGAGGCTGGCACGTGCCTAGGACTGGAGCAGGGTTCAGTGAGCTCCCAGGCTCAGGAGACGCAGAGGGGCCACGTGAACCCCGGCTCACCACCATCCAACCGACAACAAGCATGGGGTTCCTCCAGGCGAGGCAATGGCAGCTCCATTTGTGCACGAGTCAGGGGACGGGGGACGGCAGCGATAAGTGTCCCGTCTCTGCTTTGGGTTGAGAATGGAGGGTTGGGGTGTGGGGGTGGGGGTGGTCTTATCCCCACACGCCCACGAGGCAGCAGGGTCTATGACTGGGCCTGTGGCCTGCGCACCCCGTTCCTTACCGCCCCTTCCCCCGGCCCCCCGCCCGCAGGTGGAGGAGAAGATCAAGCAGACGCACCGCAAGTACCTCCTGCAGGAGCAGCTGAAGATCATCAAGAAGGAGCTGGGCCTGGAGAAGGAGGACAAGGACGCCATCGAGGAGAAGTTCCGTGAGCGCCTCAAGGAGCTCGTGGTCCCCAAGCACGTCATGGACGTGGTGGACGAGGAGCTCAGCAAGCTGGGCCTGCTGGACAACCACTCGTCCGAGTTCAAGTGAGTGCCCAGGCGGCACGTGTCCCATCGGAGAGCCCGTGGGGCAGCGTCCAGGGACACGCTCTCCCTCCCACGGCGGCGGTGGTGGTTCGGTGCTGTGGAGTGGGTGTGGATCCATGGGGACCCTGTGTGCAAGAGAACAAAACGCTGCCCGGGCCTGCCCTGCCCCCACTGTGTCAGACCTTCTTGTCGAGGGCCCTCCACTTGAGGTCCTTCTCCAGGGGCGGTGTCTCCTGACAGCATGTCCCAAGTCCATGAGACAGTCTCCCCATCCTCATCCTCACTTCTGAGGAAGGAGCACCTGGCTGCGCTTCTTCCAACACAGGCCTGTTTGCTTTCCTGGCCGTCCAGGCTCCTTCCAAGGCCCGTAATCCAGGTGCTTTGATTCCTCTCCCATCTTCCCCGTTCCTACCATCTCGTGTGCGCATGAAGTGGCTGGAAGTGCCAGGGCTGGGTCAGGTGAAAACCTGAGTTTTCGAATTGACACCTTGCTCTTCAGCACGTGGGGGCCTTGTTCAGCAGACCCCCGTGCGGTTCTTCATTTGCTTTCTTTCTTTTTTTTGTTTGTTTGTTTTGTTTCATTTGCTTTCTTGACTGCGGCTTCCACAGGTGTCCGTTGAGGACCCTTGAACAATGAACCCCTCCCTCCCTGCCCTCGAGTCCGTGCTGACTCACCACACCCCCATAGCGCGGGGCAGGACCGCCCCTGTGAGTGTGCGAGACTGTAACTCTCGAAGGGAGTAGGAACCCGTTCCCCTGGGGCAAGTTTCATTCTCTTCCCCGCCTGTGGTGCTGCCTCTTGGTGCAGCTGTGAAGATGTTGGCTCACTGTGCGCTGAGTTACAGTCCACCGTGAAGGCTGCAGTCTGACCCTCCCCAGCAGCTGCTGCAAACTCTCTTCGCTTTCGTCAGGAAGGATTGTGTCATTCGAACACCTGGCTCATAAGTCTCTCTTCAATCCATAGGTTGCTTTCCTATTCAGATAATCCAGCTTTTCTTGGATTGTTAAGAACATACAGAAGTTAGGGCTGACAGCACATAAATGTAGGATAACTACATCAAATCACAAAAATGGAAGACAGCCACACACTACTGGGAATCGTGGGCAAGCCAAGTTGACACAACCACCCTACAACCCTGTTTTAACTTGATACCTTAACCATCCATAATTCCACCAGTTGCTCCGAGGCAGAAAGAGGAGGCTTTCTACTCCCGTAAAGCGTGCTGGTCCCGGGAACCCACGGGGCCGTTCTCCCGTGTCCTGGGCGGCAGTGAGTTGGACCTAGTGGAGGAGGACGGCCCTGGTGCTGCAGTGGCTATGGATTGGGCTGTGGACCACAGGTCATCACATGGAAACCCAGCCTGGGCACACCCTTCCCGGTGGCCTGATGAGGGCCGGGAGGGGTGCCGGGCTCTGCTCACAGGCCCCTGTCGGTTCTGTGACAGTGTCACTCGCAACTACCTGGACTGGCTGACTTCCATCCCATGGGGCAAGTACAGCAACGAGAACCTGGACCTGGCGCGGGCCCAGGCGGTGCTGGAGGAGGACCACTACGGCATGGAGGACGTGAAGAAGCGCATCCTGGTGAGTATGTACACACAAACATGTACACCCACGTATGCCAGCCTCCACGTCCCCAGTCCGTCTTGTGGATTTGCCTCATGTGGGGACATGTCAGGGGTGATGCCCCCCACCTGGGGCCCAGGCTGTCCTGCGTGGTGTTGGGTGGGGGGGGGCTTGGGGTGTAGTGCAGTGACAGTAGGGGTCCTTGGTGTACCTGGGTCCCCCTGCCGGCCGTCTGATGGTAGAAGCTAGCAGGCTGGAGTCTTGGAGCAGAAAGCAAGCCCAGGGGTGCTGCTGGGGGTAGGGGTGTTGGGGGGTGGACATAGTCAATTGTGGGCTTTACATGTCCTTGGCCCCAGACTGTCCCTCCTCTGAGAGCTAACCATTCTTGTCAACCCCTCTGAGATGGGCCTGGTCCCTGTAAGAGACCACGGAAAAGCAATGCTCTATAGGGCTTGGTCCTGGGCAGCAAGCCCCCCTGCAGGGAGCACTTCTCTTGGGTCCCCACCCGCCCCTGAGCCCAGCCTCTGCCCACAGGAGTTCATCGCCGTTAGCCAGCTCCGAGGCTCCACCCAGGGCAAGATCCTCTGCTTCTACGGCCCCCCGGGCGTGGGCAAGACCAGCATTGCCCGCTCAATCGCCCGGGCCCTGAACCGAGAGTACTTCCGCTTCAGCGTGGGGGGCATGACTGATGTGGCTGAGATCAAGGGGCACAGGTAAAACCACCCTCCCAGGGGCACCTGCCCATGAGCCTCCCGGGCCCCAGCCCAGCTAGTTCTCCTGGCTCTCCTCACATGACCTGCTCCACTCACCTGGACGGACAAAGTCTAGGTGTGGGGTGCCTTCCAGGCCTGGCTGGGTCCGAACACTCGGGCCTCACAGGCAGAAGTCTGCGCCACCCCACTGGCTCTCAGTTGGTGGCTGTAGCACCAGCTGAGAGGCTGTGGGGGCCATGTCTGGCCTCCCTCCCTGCCCTTGAGTCCGTGCCGACTCACCGCACCCCCATAGCGCAGGGCAGGACCGCCCCTGTGAGTGTGCGAGACTGTAACTCTCAACAGGGGTAGGAAGCCCGGCTTTCCCCCGAGGAACTAGTGACCCTGCACCCTGCCAGCACCGCCAGGGGCCAGTCTCCCGCCCTCTGGGAAACGGTGCTGTGGGTGATTGCCAAAAGGAGAGGTCAGACCTACCTCCAGCTTCCTGAGCCATGTCTGGACATGTCCTCTCCTCCCCTCCCCTCCCCCGGCTCTGCACTCTGCTCTGCTGGGCTTGATGCTGTGGCAACCTCACAGACAGTACTCATGGATAGTTTCTAGGGGGCTCAACAGGTCCCAAATTGTTAGGAGACAGTTCCTTTGCCCACCAAGCCTCTTCTCAGCCCCAGCAGCTGTGGCTCCTCAGCCCCAGTCTCCCAGCTGCATGATCACTGGGCCCATTGGCACTGCTGCTCTGCTCTGTCTCATGGTCTCTGCCACTTCCAAGAGCCGTATTTAAGCAGTTTCACTTCCCCACAATCCTCCAGCGGAGCAGCCACGCCAGGTGAACCAGACTCCAGGGAACCAGTTCTCGGAGGGAACAGGAACCCCAGCCCTGGATCGGGCCTCCTCCTGCTGGCACAGCAGGGCCTTCCTGCTGTCCGGAGTCACAGATCCATGCACAGTTCTTCTCTGAGCCACAGATGAGGAAGGTGGGCAAGTAGCTGCCCACATGCCCTGGTGCTGACCCTGCTGTTCCCTCCCCTGCAGGCGCACGTATGTGGGGGCCATGCCAGGAAAGATCATCCAGTGTTTGAAGAAGACCAAGACAGAGAACCCCCTGATCCTCATCGATGAGGTGTGGCTCGGCCCAGTGGGGGTGACGGGGGGTAGGGGGACTCCAGCCCCAGTGGGGCCCTGACATCCCAGGTGCCCCCTGCATTCCCTAACGCTGTCCAAGCCCGCAGCCACAGGGCCTGCCCCTGTCAGCTGCCAACTGCCCTCTGCCACTCAGGTGGACAAGATCGGCCGGGGTTACCAGGGTGACCCTTCGTCAGCCCTGCTCGAGCTGCTGGACCCAGAGCAGAATGCTAACTTCCTGGACCACTACCTGGATGTGCCCGTGGACTTGTCCAAGGTGTGAGGCCCGAAGGGCAGTC